TTTCACCAAATATCTTCAATCTCACCCCTCTCTATTTCCTCCATTTTACACAAAATAATTAAAAAAATTACTTTTATTAATTTAAATTTTATTGTATTTTGGGGTGGGTGTTACATACATATACAATAATCATTCAATCAAAACAATCTAAATGATTTCCAACTGACGATAAATAGTCTAATAAATTTATATGATTATAGTTAGTTGTCGGAGAAATTATCGAAACTTTTAACTATATCAAAATATTTATATTATAATTTATAGTCACAGTATCCTCCCTTATTTCTTTCGTTATTTATTTTTGAGTTTAAAGATTAATTTTTTCAAGCAAAAAATTATTAAATGGATAATACTTAGAATTTTTAGTGTTAATATATTAACACTAAATTTCAAATATTAAAGCATCTATATAAATTAATTTTCATAATTAACCACATTAAATTGGAATAAATGTTTATTTAATAATGTTTGTATATATTGTTTACTAAGAACCACTAGAAAAACGATCCTCTAAAAAATATATTCAATGTTTATATATATATATATATATTGTTTTTAAGAAATATCATTCAATTATATTTACTCAAGGCTACCAAAAGAAATAAAATCGAAACCAATAGATGTAATATTCATTACTCGATTACCATGATAAAGCTTTATCCTAATTAACTTTCCAACTTTCTACCTTTGCATGCAAATCTCTGGCGTGTATATATATATATATATATATATATATATATATATATATAAATATTAGACTTTATTAATTAAGGAACATTAAAGATTTTTATTAAATTTTTGGATCTTCCCTACAGCTTTAATTTCCTGAAATTTTCAAACAAAATCTTTATGAAATCAAGGAAGGTGAAAGTCTTAATGAATTTGATATTTTCCTGAGTTGTGTTGATATGAAACTTGAACTGATCGGTGGTCTGTACACAACCAGTTGCCAATTATATAAATATATAAATAGTGTAATCCTATATATAAATAAATGAAAAGGACCCACACGTAAAACCCAAAGTTGGAATCACTTATTATGGATATACATACACACACACGCACGCATATATATATATATATATATATATATATATATACACACGTATTAATTACTGCAGAAGCCATATACACATATACTTTCCATTTAAAGCTCTAATTCATTAATGAAACTAATTCTATAATTGTATTTGCTGGTAAACTACAATCAATTGCTCTAAGATTGTATTTTTTTTATTATCTTCTTAAGACAATTTTTATTAGATTAATATTGGGTAAAGAAAGATTCGATTGCAATCTTTTCCTTCAAATTTTGAAATATATATATATATATATCTATATATATATCTTAAGTTGATGTTGCATTGCATGCCACCCTGTAAGAAATTGGTTCCTATATTTATTAAATCTCTTAATAGATCTATATTAATTAATTTCATACCTTGTTAGATATATATGTATACTTAATATTATACATCAATGTCTAAACATAGCATGCTATGTATTATATGCTATGCTATATTTCACCAATGAAATTATACATGTACATATTTTTTCCAAAATATTTATTGCCTTCCTTGTTTTCTTTCGTAGTCTACAAGGCTTTAGGGGTTATTAATTATTATTATTATTTATCATATACTTCTCTTTCCATCTAATCTACATAGTACGGGCTTAACCAATAATTAATTAAAAGTTATTAATTACCATTCAATTAAATAATTAGTATATTGGAATTAAATTATTTTTCATATACGTCATAATTTAAAATTTATATTTATTAAATTATAATTAATATATATTATTTAAATAATAAATGTAGGAATTTATTAAAAAATTATATATTTTATTTTTATAAATTTAAATTTTGAAGGCAATTAATTGTTTAATTTTAACATCATATTAATTATATAAGATAATACCAATATGCGGTGATCTACACTTCCAAACTTGTTCTTTTTTTTTTTTTAATTAAAAATTTTAATTATAAATAATAGATTGTATGTATATATTTTTTCCAGCTTTATCTTTTGAAATGATGACGAATAATCATTAAATGTCTCTAAAAAATATAAAATATAAAATTAAGATTATAAAGTATAAGTTTAAGATTAACCATTTATATTTTGTAAAATCTTGCTCTTAAACCAACTAATAAATTTTCATATTCAATGCAATGAGAAAGATGATAGCTAGAAATGATAGAGGTTTGCTTATTGTACAAATAGAAACATACTTTCTCAGAGATTTTGAGACATATAATTAATATACGGGTCATTTATCATTTACCATACATGTAAAATTCGTGAATAAAGACAAATATATATATATATATATATTCACAGTATGAACACTCGTACACATACACGAACACATTATATATATATATATATATATGTGTGAGATTTCGTGCAAAAATTTGAGAGAGAGAGAGAGAGAGAGTAAAAGATTTTGAAGTTTTGATTGATGATTGATTGGTTTTGTTTTGTTTTTTTTTTTCTCGGACAAGCAAAATTTTCCGAGAAAATCCCGGGAACCCATGTATTTAGATTGTTTTTATTATTATTATTATTATTCAGAAATTGGTAAAATAGTGAGGGAGTGATGTTTGAAAAGCTGAAAATAAGGGTGGACTAGTTTCCTAAATGCCACTTGTTCATTATGCAGAGGGGAAATAGGCACTTTCAACTCCACCTTTCTTTGAGATTTGATTTCCTTTTATCTCGGTTTTTTGAATGATTTTTGTTTCTTGTTTTAGATTTGTGATCTTGAAAATTGGGATTCTTGTTACTTTCTTGTTTCTCTACTCCCTCGCCTGTCTTCCTTTCCTGTTTTATAATAAACATTTCATTTTTCTCTCATTTTCTTGGCTTGAAGAAAAGAAATCAAGACCCAGAAAATGTGCAGCAGTGATAACGATGGTGATTATAACTATAATTATTCAACTTTTACTTTCAAGAAACCAAAGAGACAGAAAGTGCCCAAGAGAGGTCCTGGAGTTGCAGAACTGGAGAAGATCTTGAGAGATCAAAACAGGAAACTCGATCATCCTGATACTTCATCTTCATTATATTCTCCTTCTTCACCAAATTCTTGCCATCACTATCTTCATCCTCAACCTCCTAATTTCTTTTCTTCTACTACTTTCTCCCATCTTAATCCAACAACTACTGGTAATGTCACTCCAACTTCCGCTCAAATCCCTTCTGGGTATTCATTTCCCATAACTCCTCTCAGCAAATCCAATCAAAATCACATGTTGCAGAGAAAGCATTCTCAAATGGTAAAATTATCAATTAGTAATTTTTTTTTTTTTTTTTTAACCTTAAGTTTCAGGAAACATTGCTTCAATTTGTGGGTAAAAATGATTGCAGGTTAATTTGTTTGTAGACTCATCACTGCCATCTTTCCCCACCTCATCATTTTATCGTCGTGTAGAGCTCCCTTCAAACCAAACATCCAATCAACATTATGCATCCATATTGCCCCAGGAAGAAAAGGTATATTCATCTTCATTTCCTACTATACTTTTTTTTTAAAAAAATTAGTTCAACTTTACTCTGTGTATTGTTCTTGGATTGATTTGTCTTACTTGTTGAAACCATTTTCTTCATCAGTTTTTATATGAATTGATTTTTGTTTCTTAAATTAATCTCTGCAACCGGGTATTGAATTGATTTTCATATGGCATTCAAATAATTTCTTATATGTTGAGCAGACAGGATTAGTGAATAAGAGCCTGTTTCTAAGCCATTTCTTACTGTCTCTTTTCAATTTTGATGGACTTGTGTAAAAATTGAGCATTCAATGTTTATGTCACTCTGATTATGTTAAAACAGATCATAGGCACGAAACGGCAGCAATCTTTTTCTTTCGAAAACACTCAGATTCCTCCATTAGTCCGCTACCAATGCTCCCCTCACTTGAATTCTTCTAGTCTGAGTCACAGCAGATCTAATATTGGACTCACCCACATTACCTCCAGGTTGGCCTAATTTTGTTTTGATAACATATATTTATGTATGTATGTATGGTTTTTTAACAGCTGCTGATGATCCATTTTTCTTGCTGAATTTTCAGGGAAGCAATGGTAGGCATCTCTCTAGACCTGAACTCGAAAACTTCTGCTGCAGCCGGTGGCAATTCCATCACATTTGCCTCAAATTCCTCAACATCATCTCAAAATTGTCAACAAGAATTCTCCAAATTCAGTCCATTTTCTATCCAAGTAACGGTTTTTCCTTTTCCCCAATTGAAAATTTCTCCGTGTTTGTGTACAAAATCCGCGGTTTACTTATATGTTATCTTTTTCGGTTTGATTAAGTATGAAAAGAAGGAAAGCATTGAGGAGTTACAGCAAAGATCAGGCACTAGTTCATCAACTCACAAGACACTCTTTTACAGCTTCTTGCCAACAGAACATGAGCAGGAGGATGGAGCAGAAACAACTCTTAGCTTAAATGGCCGAACTTTTGAAACAAAATCAGATGGCATTGATCTCAGCCTAAAGCTCTGAGTAGGCTCACATTATTACCTTATACATACATATATATATATATGTCTTGAGTGAAAAAAGATTATTAGGTTATGCAAACTTCATTTAAAGTTTTCCGGCTTGAAACGAGCTATTTTCATTCAACATATGCTTACATTTGTTGTTGATGCTATTTTCATCTTGATTAGCTCTTGTTTTTGGTTTCCATAATCAATGATTGATGATGATGAATTATGAAAAATGAGATTGCCAGGTGAAATACTTCAGATGTTTACAGTGTTTTATTATATAAGCACAAAAGAGAATTGCAACAAGTGAATATGTGTAAGTTCTGAAACCAAATTGGAAATTAAACCCTCAAATTATGCTAGATAAGCATAATTTTATATATGGGTTATTTAGGTACCTATATAATGGGAATATGACCTCATTTCCACCCAAGAAAACCAGTAAGAACAAAAAGCAGAACTAGAGATAATGGATATAGCAGATATGCGAAAATGCCAAAGATTAGTGGAATCCTCGTGCTCAGGCTAGCAAGAAGTCCTACTGTGGTGCAAACAACGAAAACAACGAGGACTTCAGCCGAGACATCCCATATTAAATCACGTAAAATAATAAGCATCAGGAAGACGGTTAAACCCATCATATTGTTCAAGAAGACTCCTCCATAAATCTGCAAGAAAGAAGTTCCAAATTCAAATTAGTATTTTCGCCTGATGGAAAAAGAGTATGATTCAAACACAAAGTCATTGTCCGAGTTAAAGATTTGATCAGAGAAAAAAATTTTGAACTAACCTCACAAAAAGTGAGAGAGAGTGCTTTTTCTGTCTTCTCAAGGGCAGTTTTTATAGAAGAAATTGCAGATTTGTAGTTCAAGGCCAAGGGCACGATGGAATAGGAAACTAAGAATGAGGGAATGCCTGCTCCATCAGCAAATGCTTGGATACTTTGCATGAGGGGACTACCAAGGAAAAGTGTCATAGCAGTTCCAAGAATGATTAGGAAAGCAGCCTTGCAGTAGTTCCACATTAGGTCCAATCTACTTTTTATTTCTTGTTTTCTCCTCTCTATCAGGTTCTCGTGATCCCCAGTAGGTGCCTGCAATTCATGTGTGAATCAGAAAGTTAATGTATATATATACATGTATGAACTGTATGTATGTATGTAATGGTTAGAACTGAAAAAAGTCCTGACATACAGGAGCTGCAACCATGTATTGAACTCTGTTTTCATCTTGCGTCTGCTTATTCCCAAAATCTTTGTTGGCTTTTTTAACCCATCTCATAAGTCCATGAACAAACTCGGCTTCACATATTTTACCATCACCTGAGATATCGAACTCTCCCATGATCTTTGCTGCAAAATCAGATTCATCAAGTCCAACTCGATCGATGTTCATTCCCATGATGAATAATTCTATTTCTTCAGGTGATAAAGCCTTATCTCCATTCTTGTCAATCCGTTTAAATAGTCTGGAATATAACCAAGTGATAGATGATACTTATTAAGAAATTGATTGAACCAGTTATTTTAAAAATTTAAACTGATAAAAAAAATTCAATGCATTTGAATAAAAAGCATGAATTATATGTTAGACTAAAAGCATGAATTATACATAAGTTCATGATACCTTATAGGAAGTTAAGTTTTAATAAAAATGAGAGAAACAGGATTTTAACAAGAAACTTCTGGTTCAGATATCACATAAAGTAATTGATTAAATCGATTATCTCAAATTTTAAATTGATATGAAAGAGTCTACCATGGACTCTAAGCAACTTACGTTTTTATTTTTGCCTTATCAGGCTTGCCATTGGAGGTGAGAAGCTTCTGTAATAAGTGCTTTTGAACATACTGATACATCAAAAACTCAAGCCTCTTGTCTTGAATCCATGGCTGAAATACCTGCTCATGCACGAGTATATTATCTCTAACTTGGTCAGAAATATCATATAGTGGAAAACCCTCTACATACACACACACACACACACACACACACACACATATATGTATTACCTGGTAGGTGCAATAAACAATGAGGTAAACAAGACTAAGGACGAACGAAAAGATGACTACTCCACGAGAGAGCCATCGCGAATGAAAGAATTTTGAGAATTCAAGGATGAGAAATGGAACCAAGGTGGAAAGCATAATTCTTGCAGTGTATTTGGTATCTTTATCAGTTGTTACGCCATAATCTGCACATAGAAAAAAAGAAGTGTTGAAAACAATTCTGTTTGGGAAGTGGGAATTTGTTTCTCAGTATGGAAAATGAGAAAGAAACTAACCTAGTAAATTGATGGGTGTTTTTCCTTCTTCTTGATCGTCTTGTTCATCTGAATCATCATCATCATCATCATCTGAAGTGTTTGATATATCATGGCTACCAAATATAACAACTGAACCCCAAATTAGTGTGAGACTCATCATCACCGATCCTGCAACTAAACCCATACCCATTGCAGCTGAACTTTGTATATTTTCTTTACTTCCCGATAATCCAGAGACTGCCAAAAAAAAAGACCATTTTAATTTTAACCATTTCTTTTCATACAAAATTCATGCATTAATACAATAATATATATATATATATATATATATTACCATATGTTTCTTTGGTTCAAAATTTTGCATCATGTTTCCCAAAGCTCACATATTAAATACGTATATATATATATATATATTTTTTTATTATTTTATTTATATATTTTATAAAAAAAATTCGCATAGCATCATCAAATAATACAAGTAAACTTAAGACAAAAAATAAACCTACAAATTATAAATAATGCTCGGACTATTTTAGAGGGATGAATGTATGCGATTGTTGCATATGTACATATATAAAGAACTTCATATTAAGTGTGTTTTGTTTTTTTTTTTTTTCAATCTAATCAAATAAAAACTATTTATGCTGGTATTAAAACATTCACGAAAAACTTCTTGCAACTTTTATTTTGTACCTGACCTACACATCAAGTAGTATATATAGTAAGTGAGAAATGACTTACCAAAAACCAGTATGGCTCGTGGTATCATTCCCAGAATCTGAAAGAAACTAGCACCAAATATACCAGTTCCAAACATTGTAAAGAAAAGTTCAGTGCCAGTAGAATTATATGCACTAGCCATGGAAAGCAAATATTCATACACCACAATTAGAAACACATGCCCCCACATCCTGTCCGTACAAGGCAAGAAACTATAGGCCGGTTTGCATATTATTGTATCATCATCCTCATCATCGTGGCCGATAAAGAAATCAGAGCCAACTGAAATGTACTGATTGCGATCATAATTTGTTTGGTTCATCATCTCATGATCACGATAAAGAAGAATGTTACTATCAGTTATTAAACGAGCAATACTGATTTCAAAATAAGTCGTCGAGAGAAATATAAACATAACTAGAAATATTCTCGTCATCATCATCATTCTGATATTCTAATATGTGTTTTTCCTGCAATTTAATTATATGGAAAAAAAAAAGAGAGTTAGAAAATTATATGATATCAAGAAATGAAGCAAGTTATCTAGACAAACCTGGATTTATTAAATATATGTTGCAAGAATTTGCTTCAAACTCTCCTCGAGAAGTATTATATATTGCTAACCTATATATATGTACTGAATGATCGTCCCCATAGAAGGAAAGAAATCAAAAGAAAATATATTAATATATATGTTTTCCCATCCAACATAATAACCAATGATTATAGGCAAAGTAAAATTTAGTTTTCTCTTGTTAAAATTGTATGGTATATTGAATCTTTGGGTGTAATTTAATAGAAATTTCACGTGCTAGAAATATCATCATTTTTTATAAGTCAGCTTTGTTTTTCATCATGATTTTATTTTAAAAAAAATTACTTATAAAAATTAAATTCATCTAATACAAAAACAGAAAATATAAAATTTTATAGACAGAGTTTAAATTTTATAGTTTTTACTCACAGTTATTTTTAGATTCAGAAACTTGATTTAAATTTTATTTTTATTTAAAGAAATATAAAGATCGAATTTGGTTACAAGAATTTAATTTAGAATTATATTTACTAACTTATTTTATGTTTCCGAAAAATTTAATATTTCTACTTACAAGCGGATTATGATCAAAATATATTACAAAAATAATGTCTGTAACTTATGTTGTTATAACTTTTCACTTAAAATATGAACCAAAAAAAAAAAAAAGGAATTTACATAATTTCTTATCAAATTTCATAGTTGTATATATACATATACCACGATTGAAACTCTTTCAAAAGTTAAAATATAAGTCACAAGAAAAAATGTTTCTAGTACAAAATTGCATCATAATTCATAATCAAAAGTTTAAAACATACTTGGTCTATTATTTATATCGTACTCCAATACTTATTTATCAAATACGTTAATATATAAAAAAAAAATTCTTAAAGTGAATTAATAATGAGATGCGGTTAAAGCAAATTAAATCATCGAGTGTATATGATTTTGGTACTACATGAAAATCTTCATATACACACTACAATTGCATTAAGAGATGAATGAACTTACGCACATTTTTAGATGCTCATGATTGCAAATCCCTTTATAGCTATAGATTTTATGAGAATGATTTTTTCTCAAATGTCATTGATTCTTCATGCTTTAGTTACTTTCAATTTTTACTTAAGACACTACTAAGAACAATACATATAGTGACAGATAACTTTGTCGCTAAAACTATTTTAACGTGCCGCAATAAAAAATGACTGTTAGTAAAAACTCAATGTAAATATTTATAGTGACTTGAGTTTTTAGACTTCCTTTAGTATAGTTCTTATATAAATCTTTAATTAATTTAATGTTTTTTTATAATTTAAGTTTATTTATCTAATAAACATGTTTTATTATATCACAATAATATCTACCAAACCAAGATAAAATTATAAGATTCAAGAATATGAGACGGAAAAATAATATAATGCACAAAAAAAAAATATTTTATACAGTATTGTGAGTTCGAACTGAATCATGCATTCTTTTTTTCTATAAAAAAGTTATTTTATGATTAATGTGCATCTGTCATTAATTATAGAACTAAAGATCGAGTATTCTTACTATTTAATCACAAATTATATTATGTAAATAAATTTGCCGACCAGAATAATGACGTGGATTAGTCTGTGAAACAAAATAAAGCTAGTTAGGAGTATAATAATTCATCATTTAATATTGATAATAAGCATAATTTCCCAAAATGTTTACAACACAAAACCAAGTAGATATATGTATATACTTACGTAGATACAAGTAAGTAAATTTTTTCAATAATAAATATTACTTCTTTTAATTAAAAGAAAAAATTATTTTCTCCGAAAAATTATTAGAAAAAGTTATTAGAATATTGTATTATTGAGTTATAGTATAAACACATTTTTACTTGACTATTAATTATTTCTTTATGAAGTGTCTATATACTTTAATATGATTCACTTTGTCATACTGCATAAAATTATGTAATGTTAAGGATATATATATATATATATTTCACATAATGTATTAGTCCTTCCCATTGGATCTTTGAACCATCCAAATCATCTTGATTCATAATAAGTCACAAACTCTTTATATTAATCCAACTAGTACCACCTATAAAATCACCTTGGTCTATGTCAATGTCCTCACCCAACCATACGAGATCAGTGATGAAAATAATGAACTTCATGATTCAGTGAGATTTTTATAATCATGTTCAAGAGGAAGAGACCGGAATTTTAATCCTGCATAATTTCAAAACTCAAGACCAAATTCTTAGGAGGAGGTAAATACAGTTTTAGAACTTTTTTCTTTGCTCGTACATGATCACAATCTTTTACTTGCTTATAGAAAATATTCAAGAGAATGTATTAATCGATTAATGAAGTTTGTATCATTTAAAAACTTCTTACTTTTATATATAGATATTATCAGGTCAATCTAAATGTCATTCAAATTTTAAAAACTATATCCAGTATATGAGATAGGGAATGATGCTAATCAAGAAATTATTAATTGTGGTATATGAATTAATCTATATGATTGACCTAGTTCAATCATGAACATATTAATTTTTAGTCAACGAAGTTAATTAAGAATAAAAGAATTTTTAGACAAAAACTCAATATAGTCTATAACTTTATAAGTACAATATAGTATTAAATGTATAATTTATTAAAATTTAATTTACAAACTTCTAAATTTGTTTTAAAAAATATTTTAATGCAAACGTTGTCAAAATTTGGAATAGAAAAAGGAGAAATTTATTTGAGAAAAAGATTTATTTTTTACTTAGGAACAATAATTAAATCATTTTAATTAGCAAAAAGAAAGGACACTTATTTGTAATCATCTTCTTCATTAAAGAGAAAAATTTTGAGATATATAGTGAGAGCAATAAACAAAGAAAATGAGAAACCAAGTTGCCAAGTTAGATTAGAACGGATAAACATCCAAATGAAATCTCAAAGTTTGAAAAAAAAAAAGACTTTTGAAAGCCCTAACACGAAAACGAAGAACAAAGAAAATAATGCTTCCTATCATCTTTAACATTTGCCTCTACCAATTATCCTTTGCAACTTTCTCTTATTACTCTTTTCTTTTATTTTTTCTTCTTTCTTCTTCATATATATTCCCACTTTTTCTTGTTTTTTTTTTACTAACTACACAAAATTAATGCTCCGGTTTAAGCATTAATCAACGGCAAGGAAGCAGTAGAAACCCTACATCTTTTCTTTCCCAAGCTCTCACTATGGTCTTCATGCTGGTCTTTCAACCTAGAGGCAATAAGCGTATGATATTTAACTACTTCGGCTTTGGCCTTCACAATTCTATTCTTCTTCTTTGAAATTCTAGCCCTCTTCCTTTGAAAAGCTAAGGTTGTAAAAAACCTCTAATTTTTTGAGCTTTATGAACGGATTATGTTTATGAAGCAAAAGGTGAATACAACCAAAGGTGAGAAAAAAGAAGAACATTGATGTTTGGTGGCTTCTAGTCATCGCCGATTTCAAGCTTCTTCTAGCACCCAATGATCAAACTTCACTATCTATAATGTAGGTCTTACGATATTAAACTTTTGGGCATCAAATGGATTACAAGCTTCTTCCATTCATTACAAAGAGAAATCAGAGGGGAAGAGGAGAAAGAAGCTGAGTGGTGACTAATAGGATTGATGTTGGTGATGGTTTTGATGAGGCGATGTAAGTGTTACTTGGAGATTGTTGTTAAAAAGATATTATTCAATTAACCAAACAAGAATTAAAAGAATTATGATTTTTTATTTAAAGTTTTTTTTTCGTTATTTAGTTTAAGTCATATGTTAAATTAAATTTAAAAGATTAGAGATTAAATTATAACAAAAAATATTTTTAAGATTAAATTATATTATTAATTATAGTTCAGAAATTAAATTGAATATTTGTTTAAAATTTTATTTAAGCACAAAGACTTTTAAGAATTATATTCTACTAATTAAGTTAAGCTCTAGCCAAAAAGTAAAAGATATTTGTTATTTTCAAACTTAAAAATAAAATCTTAAAATAAGAATTGTTAGATAAAAGATAAAAATTTTAAATAACAATAAATTACATTATTGAATAACGAAATTAATAGAAGATGCTTGATTTGCACATACTTCCTTCCACAGTTACAATAGAAAATAAAATTTGCAACATAATTTTAAGGCAAGTTCATAATATGGGTAAGAATATAAAGCATAGCTAGAGATATTGGATATAGAAGAAATGCTACAATGCCTGTCCAAAGTGCAAACTTCCTATTGAAGCTTGAAAAAAATCCCATTGCTGTGCATATAACCAGAACAACCAGAAGTTCAGCTGAGACATCCCACTGTATATCACGTATATAAACAAGTGCTAGGAAGATGGCTAAGCCCATTATATTGTTCATGAAGACTCCCCCATAAAGCTGCAGAAAAAATTTATGTTTCTTTTAAGACAAGGCATCTAAATGTGAATGCATATACTTATATGGAGTAAATATTTAGTAAAGTTGAATTAGGGAGAAGAAATTAGTTGACTCTAATTACCTGAGAAAATGTAAGAGAAACAGCATTTTCTGTCTTCTCATTGGCAGTAGATATTGCTCTTACTGCCTGTCTGCAACTCAGGCCTAAAGGTATTAAGGCATAGGAGACGAGGAACGAAGGAATTCCTACTTCATTAGAGAATTCTTGGATACTTTGCATAAGTGGTCGTGCAAGCAAAATTGCCATTGAAATTCCAAAAATGACAAAGAAAGCAGCCTTGATGTAGTTCCAGCAAGTCTCGTATTTCTTGACTACATAATAAGTCCGAGGTCCACGAGGTAGCAAGCTTTGTAGCTCCTCACTGGTTTCCTAAAATTGATCAAGATCAATGTGACGTAAATATAGAATTATGGTTAGCGTTAAACAAAATCATGCCATAGGGGATTTCTATGTATATTTGAGTTTTTGTAGTCTTCAGCTTGGTTACGTACATAGGTATTAGCTTTGTGAAGCCACCTTGAGAGTCCATGTATAAACTCTAGTTCACATATATGAAAATCTCCAGTAACATCAAACTCTTCCATCATCTTTGACACGAAATCCTTCTCGCACAGTCCAACCTCTTGGATTTGCAATCCAAGGATGAATGCTTCTAGTTCTTCAGTTGATATATATCTATCACCATTTTTGTCCATCTTCTCAAATAGCCTGCAAAAAAAGTATATTTCAAGACGTGTAATGCTTAGTATCCCATATGGGTAGTTTATGGGAGAAAGCGAAATATATTTTTGTAGTTCAAAGATTACAAAAACATTAATCGCTAGCATTTTTGAGCAATTAGTTGAACATGTAATAAGTTTTTTGTTTTAGAAATGAAATCAAAGTCAACTCAAGGACTAATATTGAAAGTGTTACAAGCGAAAGTATAGAAATATATTTGTGGTATAAAGACATGAAAGTACTGCCAGTTAGCATTTTTTGAGTGATGGGTCAAGTTTATAGTAAGTACATAGTTTCATAAGATCAATAGAAGAATCTAATGGGTTGAGACTGTAGTCGAATCCTGTTTAATCTAAATTAAGAGACAGCTAAACCTGTAATTAGATTGAGAAACTTACATTTTTATCTTGTCCTCATCAGGCTGGCCACTGTGAGTAAGAAGATCTTGTAATATATATTTCTTCACATATTTATGCATGAGATATTCAAGTCTCTTGTTTTGAATCCATGGCTTAAATACCTACACAAATATATATATATATATATATATTTAAGTTAGATTCAACAAAACCATCATCTATAAATCTATTGGACATTTTTATGTTGTTGAATTTGTTATATTACCTGATATGTGCAGTAAGTGATAAGGTAAATAATTGTTACGACGAGACAAAATAGGACTAACACACGTGTACCAGATGGTGAAGCTACAAGTTCTGCAACTCCAAGGATGAGAAAAGGAATCATGGTCAAAAGTATAATTCTCGCCATATAAGTGGTTTCTATATCAGTTGTTACACCATATCCTGCAAAGAGATCATTATCACACAATAATTAGTTCATCAAAATTGTTTTGTATAAGAAGTTGGATTTTGCTATCGAGTAAAAATAAATTAAAACCTGTTAAATTGAATGATTTGTTTTTCTGTGAATTTGGTAAAATATCATAGTGACCAAATATCACGATTGAACCCCAAATTAGGGTAAGGCTCATCATCACTGATCCTGCAAGTAATCCCATTCCCATTGCTGCCATGGCTTGTATATTTTCTTTTGTTCCTGACACTCCAGCCACTTCAAATAAACAAATCAAATCAGAAGATATATACCTATAACATCATGCAATTCATGTGTATATGTATAAAGAAATTCAAGAACTTACCAAGAATTAGCGCGACTCGTGGGATCATACCGAGCATTTGAAACAAACTAGCACCAAAAAAACCAGTTCCAAACATTTTGAAGAAGAGCTCAGAACCATTAGCAATGTAAGCATCTGAAAGAGAAAGCAAGTACTCGTAGACAACGATCAGAAACACCTGCCCCCATAACTTGTTGGTGCACGGAAGGAATCCGTAGACACTTTGGCACCGGATTTCGTACCCTCCTAAATTCACATCACCACTAGGCATCTCAATAACACTACTCCAGTTTCTATTCTCACTTAAAATTGACGAACCACTGCTGCTGTTTCCTAAATGGATATTGCTTAACATCAACATTAAAACAATCAGAAACATTGATCTCATCCTCCTCGTCCTCATCCTGATCCTCTAATCTTTTGCTTCAACAATAGACAAGAAACATATAACCCGAAATTACACACACACACACGTATATATATGTATATATGAAGCAAAATGGGAAATAGATTAAATATATTTAATTAATTTGCTTCAACCTTTCCTACTTGCATAAATAATATATGCGGGTTAAGCATTGAGAAAGTCAAAGAATAATTGTACATGGCTAGGTAAGGCCACATGCACGGTTTGTAGATAATAAAAGCTTAAACAGTATCTATTATGGTGATTGTGGATATATACAATTATTTATTTCATAGTAGAAATTTCATTTGATACTTATTTATTTATTTATTTTTATAGAATATAAAAGATAAAACTCTTTTTTAATTATGACATGAGTAATTCATTCCTAAATATTTATATTATTTTATATTTTTGTAATTATATTTTTTAGCTTAATATATATATATAGTTATTTATCTGTATAATATTTTTACTTCAAAAAAAAAAACACATAATTATTTGTTTTTAGATTTAAATATTTTAAATTATTTATGTAACGGCCCCGGAAAATATTAAAATGAAATGAGTATTTAAATATATCGAATGCGGAAGCGAGATCAAAATTTCATTTAACATCCCTTACACGAAAAACCAAAAACGTACTTAAAATATAAAAGATTAAACTAACTAAGAAAGAAACTCGAAAATAAAACTATGCGTATGACTACAGAGTCTCTAGGCATCCCCTTCGTCGTCCTCCTGCGGAACGGGCTCGGGAACCATGTCTTCCTGATCTGAAATGGTTAATTAAGGAGTGAGCTACACTAGCCTAGTAAGAACATCACGATATCTCACCGTCACGGAGATAAAGGTGGGTAAAAAACCACAAAAAGACCAATGGAGCATAATTTACAATAAACTCGTTTATTAACAACAAAACCTTTTATCAATAATAAAACTTTGACCATCCACTTACCTTGGTGGAATTTATGAAAACAATATGAGAAAAACAATAACATTATCATAATCATTGAATAATCTAAGCTGTAAAACATAACACTTATCACGCCTCTTGTAATTCAATCATTGTACAACATATCTTTTTCTCATTTACCAGCCTACTAGTATCCGTGGGGGTCCATAGGGGTTCCGCTACCCGTTAACCTTTAACATTCATAATCAGTTTCCAGGGCCGTCCCCATACCCCGTCCGGTATGGGCGCCAAAACCATGAACCTCAATACCCCGTCCGGTATGAGGGTGAAACGGGCCGTCCCCATACCCCGTCCGGTATGGGCGCCAAAACCATAAACCTCAATACCCCGTCCGGTATGAGGGTGAAACGGGCCGTCCCCATACCCCGTCCGGTATGGGCGCCAAAACCATAAGATCTCCATACCCCGTCCGGCATGTGAGACCACAATCCCGGTAGGGTTCCCTACGGACCCGGTCCGTCCACCATCTCCCAGGATATCTAGTCAGGCTGACCCCCATAATACAATTATCAGTTTACACAATCTTTCATTTTTCCTTTTCCTCAATCAGCATCATCAATTCACATTTAAACAAGCAAATCGTAATTCATACCAAACAGACAACATACAGTATCAGTTTTTCAGTCATTCAACCCATAATTAATAAAAACGTAGTACATGCACACAAATCTGTAAAATGAACACATCAAACCTCATTCTGTATTTAAAGCTGTAAACAGGCCAAATAACAGTAAACCACCAATCACACTAGACTCGGGCTCCATTAGCTACCTTAAGCAATTTCACACATGCATTAATTCAAGAAATACCGTTTTATCATTTTGAACTTTAATACCGTGATAGGAAATAAGGTGAGGGGTCCTTACTTGTTTTCGAGATCCGAATACGATTCACAGTGCGCCTGCAGGCTGTCCCTAATTTTCCCTGAATTTTTCCCGGGAAACTGAAACACACTAAGAGTACCTGCACGTGTTCCAAAAAAATCCAAATTAGGCCCAGGGCCTCTTTCGGCCCAAATCGCAACTCCGGCACGGCGGCTCCGCCGTGCTCCGGCGACGGCGCCGCCGCTGGCGGCGGCGAGTCGCCTCGGGTTGGCTGTTTTCGGCCGTTTTCGGCCGAATTCGGCCACACTCGCATTGGTCCTTGTCAGAAAAGAACCTTAGGGCCCTCGGGGGGCCAAAAAATCACGGAAAAACGGAGCTTACCGGCGGCGGCGCTCTCGGGTGCAGCGGCTCTCCGGCGAGGTTCGTGTTTTGGTGATTCGGCTCCGGTCAACCTGTAGAGAAAAGAATGGTGATCACGGTGATATAAAAATTGCATCGGACGGAGGCCGGGAAGGGCCTCGTCGGAGGCAAAAACCGAGAGGGGGCGCGGCGGCGCCGCTGGGCTTCGGCCGCGTATTCCGGCCGTTTGGCCGGGATTTCGGCCTCGATTTGGCCATAGGAGGAATCAGCGGGGAAAAACGAGTCGGGGGTATGAAATTTACCTCGATTGGCGGTCGGAAATTTCCCCGGTGCGGCGGCGAGTGGCGGCGGGTGGCGGCGGTCGGCCTCTGGTTTGTCTTCTCCGGCGAGCGGCTGGCGGCTAGGGTTTGTGGTCTGGTGTGGGGGTTCTATTTATAACCCCTTGCCTTTTGATCACAGCCGTTCATTTCGTTTTAATCTGGGCCGTTCGTTTTTGATTGAATCTGGGCCGTCCGTGCGATTGAATCTGGGCCGTCCGATCGCGTGATTGATCTGGGCCGTCGGATCGCACCCACGCGGATCGCCAACGTGGCTCCTTTCGGAGTGACGCGATCTTGCCACGTGGCAGGCACTGGTTGGCCGGGACTGCTGACGTGGCTGCTGACGCGGCTGCTGACGTGGCCCCCCCCCCCCCCCCTTTTTTTTTTTTTTTTTTTTTTTTTTTTTTTTTTTTTTTTTCCTCCTCCTTTCCGGGTGCTACAATTTAAGAGTTACCATGGCTTTAAGTCAGCACTTATATTATGTAATCTTACATGTAAACTGACAATAAATTATCATGTGCCCATATTATTATATTTTTATGAATAATTTATATAAATTTTCTATTAATTTAATTACTAAAAGAAAATGTATAACAATTACATTGATGTATAACTATATAGAATAATTTTATCTGTTTACATCATGTTGATATCATCATCTTGCTTTCGTCAGCATATGGGATGACAACCTAATATCAAATGTAAAAATTTATTGTAGACCAAATTATTTATAACATATGACTTGAAGCAAATTTAATCAACACTTGGAATGTTGACTTTATCAAACCTATCAACCCCTTGTATGAACAAGTTGTCAACAGGACATTTATGAAAATAGAATTATGTTATTAGTTTATGAAAGTATACACTTGGAATCTCAAAACTATAGAATATGACAGCTTGAAGAACATTTATTCGATATTTAAAATGTTGACTTTAAACCTAGCTATCAACCCACATATTAACAAGTTATCAATCACACATTTTTTAAATAAACTATCTTATTGTTTAAGTCCCGAAAACATATGACATGTTTAGGAATATTCTAAGTAATACCTTCATTTAAAGAAAAAAATAATACAACACATAGATATTCAAGTCTTTGTATTTCTCAACGAGCAAAACAATCAAACAAATAGAAGGTATTCATGTTGCTCTCATCCGTGCTATCGGACACTTGTTATTGAAGGACTGACGTGTTAAAAATTCAACATTTATTTTGCGAAGAGAATAAATACGCCAACGGATTGACGAATTTTGGCTTCTCGTTAAAGCTTGGTCTTCATCGGTATGCTCGTCTTCCAAATGATTTTCAACAACTTAGCACGAATAATATCAAGTGAATGAGTAGAATGTTGTATTAATTTGGATATTAATGTCTTTTTCTTTTACAAGATTATAATAAATATTTATTTTTATGCCTAATTATAGTAAAACAAGTAATTATTTACTTTCTAAATTTAAATATTTTAAATTGCTTATGAGTTACAATGGCAGCACTAGTTTTGGGTCATTTTTTACACCTGAAATAAATTATTGAACACATTATTTTGTGCTTATATTAATGTAATATTATATTTTTCTAAGTAATATATGACCATTTTTCATAAATTTTATTGATAAAATAAAATGCATCAAATTTCTCTAGAGCTCTTAAACTAATTTCCCTGTTTAAATCATATTGATATAATCACTTGGCTGAACAAATTATTTTATGTGAACATATTAATGTAGTGTTATATTTTTCAGTAATTTATAGAAATTTTCTATAAATTTTATTAATAAAATAAAATTTATTACATTATAATGTAGCTGTTACATAATAATTTATCTGTTTGCATTATATTGATACAATCATCTTGCTTTCATAAGCACATAGTATGACAAATTATATTAAATGTAAAATCTTATTGTCCATCAAAATTGTTCATAAAATAAAAAGTAGGTAGATCTGACAGTTTTGCTCGGAATCTCAAAACCCTAAAATATGGCAACGCGTATAATTTATTCAGCACTTAAAACGTTGACTTTATTAAACCCATCAGCCCAGGTATGAACAAGTTTCGAACATTTTTTTTTTTTAACAAAATATCTTATTAGATTATGTTCAAACCAATGACATACTCAGGAATCTAAATAACCTCACCAACTCGGCCACAAGAAAAAGAGAAAAAGGAGATGAAGACTGATGAAATCCAATAAAAGAATATCTGAGTGTTTGTGTTTCTCAAGGAAACAAGACAATCAAAGAGATACAAAGCATTCTTGTCTCTGTTTATTTTGATTTTTAATTTACTAGTAGTCTCTAGTAATCATTGTTTGGTTGCTACGAAAATGAAAGAAAGCTGACAAAAGGGTCAAGGCTTCAGTTGAGATTCAATCTGACAAGTTGAATGTGATCAAGGAGTAGAATGAAAAACCTATAAACCGGCTACCCAATATGAAATATTTCATTAAGAATCACGGCAAGATCTCACAAAGAATGAAACTAGTCTGGTACCATTCAAAGAAAACAATAACACATAACAGAGGGACCATCACCACATCTAAAAATCAGTACAGAGAAAATTTTTGTTTAGCTAGAAAAGAAATCAGTACCAGAAACAGATAATGCAGGTGTTATTTTCCAATAATCAGTATAATATTGTCTTTGTTGAGTTGAGAATCACGATCAACATACATTTCTGTGACATTTCTAGGAAAATTCAGAACAATCAGTATGCAATGTGATTGTGCCGATGCTGGTAAAAATGTGGTGCAGCCTCCATCAACCAAGATGAATCAATGGAAATGACATTGCGGATGTATTGTCGATCAGTTGAGACAATAGAATGGTAGATAACCCACTTCGGATTGACTCTGCTAGGCAACAAATGTTTGCATGAGATGTAGTTCATTCGCAATGGAAATAAGGAAGGTTAGTTGAAGATCTCATATTAAAGCAGCTTCAGATTATTTTATTATGAAAATCTTTAGTATACAAGTGAAAGAATAGTTCACTCAGTGCTCAATGCACAGCACTGTCCCTTTCTTATCAATAAATCATTTAAGATATTACTCAACAAAACAGAAAAACCAGTCAAAAAGAGTGGCTGCAAAAATGGTGGATCAATTCAGTTTGTAACGATGGAGAATCCTGAAAACTGGGAATTAGCTGTGTACCAACCCAAGCCAAGGGAATTCTGCTGTCAAGTACTGTTCTCCGTGACACACAAGAACCTCAACAAAATGTGGAATCATGTTAAAGTGTATTATGTTGTTGACCAGCTGTACAAGCAGTTTACAGCAGAAGAAAGGGAAAGTTTATTCATCTGTTTCATTTCCTAAGCAGTTGTTTTACTTCTCGGTTCTTTTTGGTAGTTATGGATTCTAGTATTACTGAGATCATTAGGAAACAGCTTTCCTGTGTTGAGGAGGTGATCATCTATTGCCGTCTGCATTCTCTACATATGTATGCTTTATTTTTTTGAAATAGTATTTATGATTTATAAAAATGCCGGAAAACCTAGATAAGGATGAGTGTAGTGTGAATTGGGACAGTGAATGTTGACAGAACAAAGTATTCTTAGCTTGATTTTGTTGCTTATAATTTCTCCCACTTCCTAAGTTATATAGCCATAATGAGTCTGTGCAGACTACAAGGAACTCTTCTCCACTGGGATAGCTAATCTCCTACAAAAGCTACTGGGAAGGATCCTAGATACATGAGATAAATATTACTTCAGAGCAGTAACACCCCTGTGATGCCAAAGTTCAAATATGCATGCACCAATTTTGCATAGCGCAGAAGAAAAATGCTCACACCTTATACTTCAGAGCAGTCACCATACTGACCTGAATAATACAGACGATGGATGAATATAGACTTCCTGAGAACCTCTGACAGTTTTGTACATACCGTGGCTGTGTGCCTAGACAATGAAAAATATACCAATAGAAGACATCAACTTAATATAAAAAAAAAAAAGATTCCCAAACACATTATGTGAATTATCAAATTTCACCAAGAACAGGAAGGAAAATGATAACATAAATTAAGATGTTGACTTAAAATAAATAAGACTGGATCTGCACCCCCAATGCATAAAGGGTTTAGTTCAACTTGCAATTATGAAATATTACTCACTTGTAACTGACAGGCATTAGTGAAAAATCCTGAA